GGAAGTTTAACGAAAGCAAAGGTTTGGGTGAGCAGTTGGACATTGAACATTGAGCATCGAACCAGAACTCTGAATCAAGTATAATAAGTTAGTATGATAAGTTTCTAGTTTAGCGTTTTATTTAAGTTTATCGTTTATCGTTAAGGTTCGTTTTCATAATAAATGCTGTCATTAGAATATTACTTCTGTGTTTCTCTTAGTTTCCCTGGGAAGGAAGGCGCAATACTTAGTAAAAAACAGTACCGGTCTGAACAGCGTCACACATGAAATATTATTCACAATCTTAAAAAATCAAAATAACTTGATTTAAGTTTATACAACTAATTAACTATTTACTATTTCATCAAAGAAATATAAATTGTTTTCTTAAAGAATCCCAACTGGCATGGAGACAAATTTGAACTCAGAAATGAGAAAATCAGAAATCGCAAATCTCAGCTAGTGGGTCTTGAACTCAGAGCTACCGAATTGTGAGACCGACGATATGACCACTCGACCATGCTGCCTCCCTTGATCTATCCCTTATATCTATCTTATATCTTATAATCTACCAAGAGACCAGTAAAACATATATTAAGTAATTCTTGAACCGAGGATTGATCTAGACTAACCTGTATAGCCAAGCGATGCCAAGAATACTGATGAATTGATTCCATTTTGAAAGGCATTACCAAGAAGATCAGCTGTCTCGTAGTGTGCAAACAGTGTCACAATCGTTATTATCGCGAATCCGTTAGCCAATCCAAATACAGTTACTCCCGCGATTCGCACTCTTACATCATCGATCATCACTAACAGCAGTATCGATGCCACTGATAATATAGTGAGAAGAGCAAAGGATAAATGGAATGATATCCTATTGATGATCGCTGGGCTCACTACCTTGACGAGGATATCAGTAATCGAGAAGGCTATGAGTAAGACAGTCGTTGACCAAAGAGTGCCAGCAAGAATGTCGTCTACAGCAATCCATATCACCACCATAGGAATAATGTTGGCTGACAAGCCCAACAAAAAGAAATAAAATGTGCTAAGCTGTTGTCTTCTTAGAAAGGACATCGTTTGCGTGTTGATGTTCTTATATCTTAGGGTGTGTCTTCTAAGTCCAGTTGTGGTCGGATACGTTTATAGAACAATTCTATTTCATTTATGCATCARTACCCGACATCTCGTGATGCAAAGGGTACTGATGCGCAAATAAAATAGATTTGTTCTAAAAACATATACCCGATCATAGCTGGTCCAAGAAGAAAAACGCTAAGGGACTTTAGATACTTAATTGATTTAATATATCAGATTACAGAGAACATCATTGTGTGGTGACCCGTCCTTTTAAAACTTGATTGGATTTTGGTATTTTACGTGTTACCAAACATCTTGGGTTTATGCAAATGAGTCTACGGACACGCTCGCTTAGCGCCGGCCATCGACGCATGTCTTTTCGAAAATCTAAAACGAGATATATATGTGTTTATATATATACAAGTATCTAGATAATATTTAGACGAATACAAGACTGTATAATTTAATTGTTTATAAATCCATTGCTTTTACCAGAAGGTACAATATAAATAAGAGGACGTCTAGAAATTTTACTTGGATATATTGGATTTATTGGAGGCATTCATTTATGCAGAATAGGATCTTTATCCGTTCTAATATTATTGAATAATGTTTATATAATACTTGATGATGATCAGCTAGAGATGGGCGTATATTCAATTTACCAAGTGCGTTATTATATCTAGGTTTCCTCCTAAGCCTGTACACCCCTCGTGGGGTATACGCCATCAACAACATCTGAACGCCAATATCTAGGTTTGAACATATGATAATTTGTGATTTCTTGTGGACACGTTCTAGGTCATTGTCTAAGTTAAATTGGTAAAGAATAATAAGTAACGCATGATCTAAAACCGACGTTATTGCAGCTAATATAAAATAAACCTAGATGTTTTAAGGGAACTTCAGCTCTTTAAAGTTGAATTTAAAAAATATAGCCTTTTGGATGCTTTCTTATTTATCTCATTTACGTGAGCTTTTCCCGATAATTAAATTTTAAAACGTCTGCAAAGGGCAAAGGTGATTTTCATGCATTTTATGATGCAAAGGGTATTGATGCATAAATGAAATAGAATTGTTCTAGAAACGTATCC